AAATTTGTCAATTTATGACAAAATTTATATATGACGTTACGTATATCGTCACAAAACATACTATAATGTGACGTTTTTTTATTTTCGTCATATTTATTGATTAATGGTATATCTTTTATGACAATTTTAAAAATGGTCATTGATTTTTGTCACTATATGTTTGGCGCCAAAATCTTCCCACCAAAGAATTTGGTGGGAAACCTTTTAATGACATTTAGATAAAATAATGACGTTGTAAAATCGTCTCCAATGAAAAACAGGTATTTGTGACGATTTATTATAATGACGATTGAATTTGAATTAGTAGTGTTGCACATTTGTCACTAATAAATTTTATTCGTGACAATTAAATTTGTCATATTTTATAAGACACTAAAAGTAACATTTTATTATTGTCACAAAAATAGTTTTAGCATTACGAAATCGATTATTTGTCATTTGTTTTTATCTCTCTTTTTTATATGATGATTTTAAAAGATGACAAGAAATTATGTCAGTTAATGTTAAAAAATAAGATAATCTAACAACCTTTTTAAATAATCCAATTTATAGAGTTTTTTTGTGTTTTTTATTTTATTGACATGATTCTATTTAGATTATCTCACATTCAAAGTTTTTTAGAGTAAAACATAAAATAATAAATTGTTAAAATGAAATGACCAGATGATTTTTTATATATTATTGTACTTCTATGATTTTCATGATGTTACATCAAAGTGTTTAGGAAAAAATAGATATTTATACTTGATCATAGAAATACCCATAAAGTTTTAGTATATTTAGATACATATAACATCAATAATTTTAAAATATAAAATATTACTCTTTTATATAAAAAAAACTAATATTATAAAACAATTGTCATAAAAAATTAAATTATAAAACTCTTAAATTATAAAAACAATAACTTTCAACATAAATAACTTCAACCGTCTTTGTATAAAAAATAACAATCACACGGTTCATACATAAATAACATAGCTACAAAATAGGTTCTATATCGGTATCATATTCATCACATTCAATTTCATCCCCTCCAATGTCATCTTCACTCTCTTGATCATTGTCAACCAAAACATTCACATTATCTACAATATCACAGTTAATAACAGTTGATGTAATGTCATCCCTATGCAAAGATATATTTGCTGAAAACTGCATTTCCATATCGCGATCATAAATTTCAAAATCTTCATCAACGTCGGAGAATTCATCGTTTTCAACAGTTTGTATCTATGGAACATCATATAAATGTCTATGGTGAAACTTTTGAATTACTCTCCAATCTTTACCTAACTTGGTATCATCCAAATAAAAAACCTGCTTAGCTTGAAATGCCTAGATAAAAGGGTCACTTTCATACCAACATTTGCTAATATTGACACTTAGCAAATGATCGTCTTTGTGAATTCTCCTCTTTTTATCACCCAAGTCAAACCACTTGTACTTAAACAAAACAACTTTATAATCATTGATATAATTCAACTGAATAATATCATCCAATATACCATAAAAGTTGATTTGGTCCTCATTGTGATTACCTTCAACTGTCACTCCACTATTTTGACTTGTCAAATGTTCATCACGTGCTATAGTGTAGAACCTAACTCCATTAAAAATGCAACCTGTGTATTTTTTAACACGTCTATCAGGACCATAAGCTAAAGAAAACAATTCACTAGATATTCTTTCTGAACCTTGATTGGCAACCTGCAATTTACATGAAATAAAATAAGCATAAATTATAATCGATATTTGCACAATCTAGAAAAAAATTATAATATCATATACTTACATAATTTTTAAACCATAAGGGAAATTGATCTCTATGTCTTTCTTCAATATACAATGAACTCTGCAGCTGAATCTCCATTTTATGTTTTTTGTTTTAATAAACATAATATAAGTTAAATGACATTAAAAGTAAATCTTACATGAATGAGTGAATGGTAAGTAAATTACTTACTCCATAAATAGTTCAACTTCATCACAATTTGTCAATATATACCATTGCATCATTTCAAACTCTTGGTCAGATAAAAATTCATATTTTGTACTTCCTAAAGAACGAAAACTTCCTAAAAAAATGAGGAGACAATGATTATAAAATTCTTTCCCCCCATCATCATCATCATTTCTGTCTTGTCGATTAAATTTAGTCTCAATCCCAGAGAGATACATAGAGCAAAAGTTCAGACATTCGGTTGAAATATATGACTCTGCTATACATCCTTCAAGACGAGCCTTGTTTCGTGTATATGTTTTAAGCTTACCTAAAAACCTATTATATACAAAAAAAAACTTGTTATGAAAAAAAATTATAATATTATAATTTAATTTAAAATATAAAAATTAAAGAATTACCTCTCAATAGGATACATCCATCGATAATGTACGGGTCCCCCAAGCATGACTTCACGAGGCAAGTATATAACCAAATGTACCATCACATCAAAAAACTTGGAGGAAAAATCTTTTCCAACTTGCACAAAATGATGGCACTATTCTTTTGTAAGTCTTCTACTTCGTTCTTCTTTAGCGTCTTACAACATAATCTTAAGAAAAAGTTTCCAAATTCATCTAGTGCTTGAAACACATCTTTCGAAACGAAATCCCTAATGGCAACTGGAATCAATCTTTGCAAAAGGATATGATAATCATGACTCTTCAACCCTGAAACCTTACCATCATTTACATTAATGCATTGTGAGATGTTCGACGCATATCTATCAGGAAACTTTACTGACTTCATAAAACAACAAAACTTTTTTCCTTTCCTCCTTTGACAGAGTGTAACATGCATGAGGCATCAAGTAAGAACCATCTTCCTTTTCTTTCAAATGTAATTCTTTCTTGATTTTCATGTCCTCAAGATCTAATCTTGCAATTACAATATCTTTTGTTTTCCCTTCAATGTTCAACATCGTTCCTAAAATGTTATCACAGATGTTCTTCTCAATATGAATGACATCTAGATTGTGTCGTAACTTCATTGTTTTCCAGTAAGCCAGCTCAAAGAATATGCTTGTCTTTGTCCAATTCAACTCTTCAGGGGTACGTTTCCTCTTCAATTTATTCGGATATTTCCCAAAGTCATTCTCTTTGAGACAATTTAATTGTTGTAACAACTCAATCCCAAATACATCTTTCCGCTTTGATCTATTTTCTATTTTACCATCAAACATTCTACTTTTTCTCCAAACATGATTATGAGGTAGAAAACGACGATGAAACATGTAACATATCTTATTTCTCAACTTTCGTGACAGCGCATCAACGTTACAAATGGGACACGCCAAATATCCTTTTGTACTCCAACCTGATAAATCCCCATAAGAAGGAAAATCATTTATAGTCCAAAGAACAGTTGCATGCAATTGAAAATGCTCATTCTTGTCAGCATCATAAGTCCACACTCCATTTTCCCATAAATCTTTTAGTTCATTTATCAATGGCCTTAAATAGACATCAATATCTTTTCCTGGAGAGTTTATTCCAGGAATAAGTAATGACATCATCATGAATGGATCTGTCATACATTTCCAAGGAGGAAGATTATACGGAATAACAATAATTGGCCATATACTATATGTACAACTCATATTCCCGAATGGATTGAATCCATCAGTTGCTAGGCTAAGCCTAACATTTCTCGAATCACTTGCAAACCATTCATTCTCTTTGTTGAAATCTTTCCAAGCATCTCCATCTGCCGGATGCCTTAATGCATCATCATCAACACACTTTTCTGCATGCCACTGCATATCTTGTGCTATGCTCTTTTTCATAAACAATCGTTGGAGTCTTGGTTTTAGCGGAAAATAACGTAGGACTTTCCATGGTATTTTCTTCTCAACAACCTTCCACCGTGACGTTCCACATTTCGGGCAACTTTGTCTATCTTTGAACTCCCCACAAAATAGAGCACAATAATATCTGCATGCATGAATTGGTATGTAACTAAGTCCTATTTCTCTCAGAACTTTAACTGCATCATAATAGGATGCTGGAATTGTACTATTTGGAAAAGCCTCTCTCAATAGTCCCAATATCATATTTATTGCTTTGTTACTCATTTGGCAATTAGCCTTGATATGTAACAATTTAACAATAAAAGACAATGTAGACATGCTTGAATATCCTGGTAATAAGACACGTTGTGCATCATTCAACACATTGTTAAAACTTTTACCTTCTTTTTCACCTTCACTGAAATTAAAACCTTGATTTGTTTGATCTTCATCTAATATGGGGAACAAATCTCCTAATAAATCATTTAATCCATCATCTAAGACTTAGCATCATGAGATATCCCCTCATTAAATGGATCACTCCTACCAATGAAATCAAATTGCTCACCATGATAAACCCATTTGGTATAACTTCCTGAAATACGTTTTAAAAGTAAATGATCTTCTGCCTCATTCTGAGTTCTAACACATACATTTATGCATTCCCGACGAGGACATCGAATTTTACATTCTGATCCCATATTGCTTTTAACAAATTTCATGAAAGATGAAACACCTACAACATAGTTCGCAGAATATTTGGACTCCATCATCCAACTTTTATCCATGGTGTTAAATTATCCTAGTACAAAATAATATATATATATATATATATATATATATAAGAGGTTAAGTAAAAGATCAAATAGTTAAATTAGAAAAAAAAAACATGAATTTAGAATTAAAACATGAGCAAAGTTAAAACAACATAATACAACTTCACAGTAACATAGATCACATGTGAAACAACCATTGCTTTGGACGGGAACATATTCTTAGCTAATGAGCCATATGAAACTCAATTCTCCTACTGGAAAAAGAAGGTTGGTCTCGCTTTACTTGTGGCTTTATCTGGGATGTCACTCGTAGATGTGAAATAATTTAAACTACTTGTTATTGGGTCATTACATATATACATCATAACCTTAATCCTAAAGTTTATCTAAACAAGTTACGTGGTTTGTGGGGTTAAGAGAGAACATTCTCATGATTTGCTTAGTTTTCATCATCACGAAGACTTTCAAATCTAAGTAACAAGAACAACTCTTTGCTAAAATGAGAATGAAAGGAAAAGGAACCAAAACAAATATTAATAACAAAATTTACTAAAGCAAAGATTAAAATTATTGATTGTACTAATGATTTGAAATTTTGAAGTGAATCTTTAATGAATATATCAAATCCAGGGTTCCAAGATAGAATTATTCACTTTGTCATTATGTGTGAAAACAGGGGTAGTGATACTAAAGACATCATTAAGGGGTAGCAGAATTGATGACATCAATTTGAATGATCAAATCATAAAATCAGTACTTACTTGAGAGATCACTTCAAATGATGAACTTGGTCTTCAACAAGATCACGCTCGTTCCTCAACAACCTTAGTTGCTGCATGAACGTACATGTATCGGTTGCAAGGAATTAAAATGCTATTATAAAACAGGAACGTGTAAGAGTTCTCATGCTTTAAAACTTCTACATGTTTTGGGCTGAATTATCCTTAAATCTTACCAAATAGATAGATGTACCATGAGATAATATAGATATGGACTAACGAATTCCTATCAAGTCAAAAACAGAATATCGTCTAAGTTATGCCACTTGTGTGATTACAACACATTCTTCTTAATGAATTAAAGTTTTACAAAAATTACCCCCAAACAGTCTCATATTTAAATTTTAAATTCCATGATAAACATCAAACATGTAAATCCACCTTTCGCTTATCTCTTGATTCCCAAAGCAATTCAACCTCCCTCTCAAGCTCTGGAACAACAAGCATTATCCTCCATCCTAATCATAGAAAAATTACAGAATTCAAAGCTCTTATGCATCAAGATAAACCAAATATTCAAGTAGATGCAGTTTTTGTATGCTTTATATCACAACATTATAGTAAGTAGAAAATAATTCAACATACTTGTTGATTAAAAAAGCTGATAAGCAAATAATTCAACAAATCCCGTTCTTGAACCTTTTTGCAGCAACACAAACCTAAAAAACCCCAATTGATGGCTCCACAAGAATAACACAGATTCTTGATAAGCATATAAACTGTTAGACATAACAAATATACATAGAAAGTAAGTTAATTATAAAAATCTTTAATATTCAATAAAAAAAGTTCTTTAAAATATATTAATAAATTATTTAATATACAGAAAGTAAGTTAATTATAGTTAGTAAATTAATATATAGTTGATTAAAATATATTAATAAATTATTTAATATATAGAAAGTAAGTTAATTAAAATATATTAATAAATTATTTAATATATAGAAAGTAAGTTAGTAAATTATTTAAAATATATTAATAAATTATTTAATTATTTAATATATAGTTGATAAATTATTATAAATTATGATGTATACATAGAAATCGGTGAAAATGACGTATATAGAAAGTAAGTTAATTATAGTTAGGGGTGAGTGCTTGATAGAGTCAAGTCAAAAAAATTTGACCTATTCGAGTTGATGAGTTATATTTTATAACTCAACTCACATTTAAGTTTTTTTTTTGAGTTATTCGAGTTATTATTGAGTTATATTTATAACTAAACTTGATTTTGAAATCTTTTAAGTTGAATTAAGTCTGTAAACTTATTAGTTGAGTTTTTTCTAGTCGAACCAATTTGAAAATATCAATTTTTGAGTCGAATTAAGTTCTATACACACCTAATTATAGCATGCGTTCGGACTATGAGTGTTAATAGATTCAAATCGTCCACTCTTTATTCAATAATTGTTGGATACAACATAAAAGTATATAACTTTTATTCAAATTGTGTGTTACTTATAAGCTTTCCCTAGCAACACGTACAATTGATTGTATTATTTTTTGGTACAATAAAGTTTAGGTCAGGGTGCCATCCTAGTCCAGGGCCAGGGCATACTTAAGATCCAATTGAGATTTACATAGGAATTTACATATTTTCCACCAAGAGTGACAGTGGTAGGATTCAAACTTGGCCTTATAAGCTCAAATTCATGAATCTCAACCACCTGTACCAACTCTCATTGGCTTCGATCATATTATTTTAAATTCTACATATTTTTAAATAATTTAAAAAATAATATAATAAGAAATAAATATAATTAATATAGTTATTTATAGTTGTTGAGTTAATCGAATGACGAAATTGGCCAAGAGGGGGGTGAATTGGCAATAAAAATTTTGTGGAAGCTTTTGCAGAAAATTGAAAGTAATTGCACAGCGATTTACAGTGGTTCGACTTTCTCAAACAAAGTCTACGTCCACTACCTTAGCTATCCACACTAAGGATTTTCCAACAAATTCACTAATTTGTTCTTTCTTTTGAGGCCAAAGAGATAACCTTACAATTCCCTCAAGAGTATACCCCAACTCTTGAGAACACTCTTTTCTCAAAGAGAAGATTACAAATTTGCAAACTTACAAGAAAACCTCACAAGGTAAGATGTTTGCACAATTCTAGAACAAAGAAAAGAACACTCAAAGATGAATACAATTGAGCACAAAAAGTGTTCTTGAAAGCAAAATGAATATTGAATGAAAATAGGCTTGAAATGCTCAAACTTGAGGTTTGATGCTTTCTCTTTGATTCTCTCTTGATTCTAGTTGCTTGATGTTTCTTGTTACTGATCAATGGCTTCTAAGCTTGCTTAAATACACCTTGGATCACTTCTGAACGTTGGGGATGATTAGAGAAGATATTATAGTCGTTTTAGTGTGAAAACATTTAATAAAACAGCTTGGAGTGTGGGGGGAATCGGTTCCCCATCATAGGGAATCGGTTCCCTAAGTGTAAAATTCAAATATTTCGACCGTTGAACAGGGGGGAATCGGTACCCCCTTGGGGGGATCGGTTCCCTCCGAGCATACTAAAATTCTCGGAACAAAAATGTTTAGGGGGAATCGATTCCTCCTATGGGGGAATCGGTTCCCTCCGAGCATTCTGGAAATCTCGGAGCCAAACCATTCAGGGGGGAATCGGTTCCTCCTATGGGGGGAATCGGTTCCCTCTGAGCAATCTGTAATTTTTGGCTTTGAATTGGTTCGAAATACTTTGTAAAATTATTTTGAAATTGTTTTATGATTAAAACTTAATTTTACACTTAAGTAAGGATTAAAAATGATTTTTGAAATATTTGGAGTAATGTTTTGATATTCGAATAGTTATATCGAATATACTTAGAAAATCATTTGGAAAATCTTAAAATCCATTTAACTTAATTTTTATATCGAAATATTAAAATGTTTCAACAATCTCCCCTTTTTGATATAACAAAACATTTTAGTAATTTTAAGATTTTTGAAATCAAGTTTTGAAATTACTCCCCCTTACTTTAACACTTCTTCAATTTATCATGTAAAACATTTAACACCTATTCTTCTCCCCCTTTTTGTTAAATCAAAAAGACATTGTAAAACAAGGTTTTGAAATCATTTAGCCAATTGATTTATTAATTATAAGCTTAAGCTGCTAAGATCACAATCAGAAGAGAGGTTAGCCATTAGTTTCATAAATCAATATTCATAAATAATGTGATATGGCAAAATTGGTCATGTTGCTAATGATGATGTAAATGATGCAAAAATGAATAAAACACCAAACATATAAGTTCACACCATTCATAAATCCAAAATCCAAATCCACAAGATCAAACAATTCAAAATGTTGAAACAATATTCATTTTGTTCAAAGTTTTAAAGCTAAACATAAATCAAGCATCCGGATCGGTAGGAGGAAAACGGGCTCGCATAGTAGCCATTTCATGAGTTAGTTCATTGATACGAGCGTTGGTTGATTCATTGTTTGCACGCATCTCCCGAAGAATCTCTAATTATTGAGCTCCCATTGTGGATAAATGAGACTCTATAGAGGAAAAGCGCGAGTCCATGGTAGCGTATCGGAAATCGAATGTCTCCATAAAGGATTGAAAATATGGAGGCATTTGATGCGTTTGTTGTGCTTGCTCCTCGGGGTGCTCTTCGGGCTGATCAGGCTCATCTTCGGCTTCATCGATATCTTGCATTAATTGCTCAAGCTCGGGATCTTCGTCAGCTTCGGGTGGAGCTTGTGAAGAACTAGCTCCCGGAGTAGAAGATCGAACCCATTCACCGGTTTCTTTGTTCTTTACCCATCCCGCTCTCGTTAAGGAAAGAAGATTTATTTGTTTCTTAAGAGGAAAAATGGCATCTAGACCGACTCTAAGCCCAGCTTTGGAAAACAGATTACTCAAAAAGCAACCATAAACTAGAGATGAACAAAGTTTCTTGTTAGGAACAAGATTTACGGTTTCAACAATTTCAGCAAAAATAATCTGAGGTAGGTTAATTTTAATACGGTTTTCGAAACAATGTAACCACCAAAGATCCAAAGCTCTAAGAGTAGAATAACGACCTCCGGATGGTCGAAACCACCAAGAAATCATTAGATAAAGAAAACGCTCATGTAGGTCTAAGACACTCGCACTATCTCTTCTTTTATAACGAGAACCTAAAATTTGTTTTTCATTCGAAATACCATCATTATCTAATCCAAATGTATTGGCTATATATGTGGGTCAATATATAAGAATTGTCCTAGGAGGTAGGAACGAATTCCTATGGTTTCGGTTTCATCTTGATTTTTAATACAAACGGCATTAGAGTAGAATATACGAACAAGTTGATGGTAAACGATGGGTTCAAGATCAAATAGTTTATCAAATTTCCATTCTTGTAAAATGGGAAGATATTTAAAATCGATAGCTATCATAGCTTGACGAGAAGGAATACGTTCTTCCCGGATTTTGTAAGAATCGAAATATTGATAATACCAATATCGGTGATTTCTAGACCCAGGATGATTGAAACACGAATTTTGGATAGTCAAGTTGGGATCAGGATTTGGAATAGGATTTTGAGGAATAGGAGGAGGATTTGGTTGATGACTAGAACGACTAGAAGACCTAGGACGTTTAGGATTGGACATGGTTTAGGAAATCGGAATAGAATTGATAACCTGCATTTTTAAAAAACAAATGTATGCAATTCAATTAATCCCAAAACTCAAATGAGTCTTCAATATTTCAAGATTCTCTAAATCAATCCTAAAGGGCAAAGTTTTTTAAAAACTTTTGAAAAATATGGTTTTGAGAAACAATATATGTATAGTTTTTCATAACAACAACATAATTTATCAAAACACAATAATTTGAAAAATAATTTTTTTTTTATTTCGAAAATTTAAAAAATTTGAAAATTTTTTATGTTTTTGATGAAATTAGTTGTAACATCTAGTTTCTAATCACTAAATAATCAATGCCCGATCACTATTTCAACCTAGAACTAATTAAAACTAATCCTATGTTCAAAAAACAATGAAATAGAGAGTTTAGAAAAATTACCTTGAAAGATGAAGATTGAGGGGATTTAGATGTTGTTTGCACGATTTTAATGATTCCAACAGGTTTAGAAGATGATGTTTGATTCGAATTCCGATTAATATCGTTGATTTGAGGCAAGAAAGGAGATTTGAGAGATTTAGAGGAAAGAAACGGCGAAGAGAGAAGAAGAGGGTTTTTGAGATTTGGGGGTTGTTCTGCCCGATTTTAGCAGAACCCCAGGGGGGTATCGATTCCCCTGTGGGGGGAATCGGTTCCCCTTCAAAGGGGGAATCGGTTCCCTCAAGGGGGGATCGATTCCCTCTGCACCAAAATGCTAAAGTCCGATTTTTAAGCACAAAATGCTAAATTAATCTTTTCTAGTGGTATTGGAAACTCATATATCAAAAATTAATTATGTTCAAACAATTAAATTAATCTTTAATCGATTTTTTAACATAAAATTAATTTTCACTAAGAATCACAAACTCCCCT